AGATACTGCATCTGTTGAAAACGATCGAGGGATGCATATTGAGCTGTGACCGAAGATGCGCCTTTATTGCACTGCGGGGTGGTGATTGGCCAGTTGAAGGGGCACCTCTGGGTACCTCGGCTAGAGTTAAAATACCCTAGTCTGTCAAGAAATCACGGGTAATTTACGGAGCATAACAAGAAAAAAGCGTAACTCTTTATTAGTTCCAATACTTCTTATTGGCTTCTGTTGTCAGCACGTTTAAATATTTATGGAAAGACAAAGCCCCATTAATTATCTCCACTTCCACGGAAGAGAACATAAAAGAGGGTTTCTAGAGGGAGCCGGTTTTGCAGTTCACTATACAGTCGTTCCCGAAACCGCCCTCCCCCTTGTTGACACATTGCAGCTTTCTTCCATAAAAGGCTAAGGAATAAGCGGGAAATCTCTAGCCAAATATGTAATGGTTTACTCTAATCTTTTACCCAATGATCAATGGCGCTTACGAGCATCGGTTTTACGTGGTTGGTAAGGCAGTTGTAAAGACTTCTTACGATAATGCGCGCCGCATGAAATTGACGGTATCAAAAGGTCCACTTCGGTCTAATTGCCAAATATGCACAGCCGTGGGAGCTCCGCTAACTCGCCCCAGAGCTTTATTGTAGGAGGTAGATGGTCTTATCGTACTCTAACTATATGCGCACAACTGTTCGGCGATATTCAGCATTCTGAACCCGTAAGATTTCCAGCATTGCACTTACTTTATGCTAAAGATGAAAGGCTGGATGATGAATATCAACCAAGCAAAAGAAAAATGGGCATCTACCTTCGAGAAGGTACTCAAACCAGAACGCCGCTAGTGTTAATAGACTAATTGCTTCTCTAGGCTTATGCGTTCGTCGAAGATGACGACAAGCGTCGCGCTCGTAAGCTATGCAACGATATGCTTCAAGAGCCAGGCATTCACCTCTTTTACCAAGTCAAATGTCATCTAATGCTAGCTGTGCTCGCCGACATCCCTCCTGTGGCAGAAACCCATTTTGATGAAGCTGACAAACTCTGCATTCAGCTATACAAGAGCAGGAAGGATGGTGAGGAGGAAGAAATCCTGACGTACCGAGCGATCATCGCCAATGGGAAAAAGAATTTAGGTCCGGAAATGAAAGAATGGAAGATGGAGGAAGGTATATACATGTCTAGCTCGGAGGAAGATTGGGGCTGGGCTAGTCCCAAGCGGTGGTAGGACGATCACGAACCTCTCGCTGCTCTTCACCCGCCCATAGCGCAGACCGCCTTATCGAAGCGTGCGAACCTCTGCAAAATCACAAACCGTACAAGCAGGTCACCCTCGTCCGACTCACCTACGAATATGCGCGCTCGGAAGCGTCGAGAGACAATTTTCTACGTTTCTTTTTCCAGCATACACAGATCCCGACCGATGCTTCGCAGAGTGAAGTCTCTGCCTCCGACTATGGACCCCGATTGATTGCGTTTGCAGAGACGCTTATTGAGAACTTCTTTCTGCCTTGTAAGCCAATCCCGATAGCTTTTGATAGTCGACATTGATTGACATGCTATTTAGTGAGAGCCTCAACGAGAAAAACTCCTCAACCTTCACCTGCGGCCGTTTCCGATC